CACACATACACAGTCACATACAGACACATACACACACACAACATACACCCATACACACCTGTAGCCACATATGGCCACACACATCACATACACAGCCCTTCTAAATATATAGCCACGCACGTGCCTACCCAATCACACGTACAGCTATATTCGTACCCCATACAAAATCACACACACACACTCTTACATGCCACCTACAAAGACAGAGACACAAACCGCATTCTCTCCCCCCACACAACTACACATACACACTGCCAACTCAGGCAGGCATCAATAAACGTTTGCCAGACCGCACGGAACTCTGAGCTCCTACAGCCCGGGCCTGGCCAGGAGGGGATGAAGCACTGCCCAGCATGGGGTTTCCTCTGGGCCCTGAGGCCACAACGGCACTTTGGAAGGCCCAGTGGGCCAGTGCGGATACTGTAAGGTGACATGACCAAGGGACAGGGGGCTATGACAGGACAGTGAGGGAAGAAGAATGACAGATAGAACTCCTTCAGGTCAGCAAGCTTTTCTGAACACCCAGCAGTAGTCATGGAAGGGCCACAGACTACATTTAGGGCTGGATCCTGATGCTGACACACACTGTGGAACTGTGCAAAATGATTCAAGCCCTCTGAGCCTCGACTCCCACATCGCTAACAAGATGATACCCGCCTACACTGCAGGACCGTGTGGCAGAGGAAACACCTCCAGTGCTCTCCGGAGCTGCGGGGCGGGTTCGAGCGACGCAGCCAGTGACACCTACTAGGACCATTGCGGAGGACGCTATCTCCTAGCCCTGCACAGATCACAGGAATGAAAAAGATTCCTTATGTGATCTTGTTAGGAAAGAAAAAAATTTTTTTAAATTAAGAAACAGTACAGGAGGGGCGCCTGGGTGGCTCAGTGGGTTAAAGCCTCTGCCTTCGGCTCAGGTCATGATCCCAGGGTCCTGGGATCGAGCCCCGCATCGGGCTCTCTGCTCAGCAGGAAGCCTGCTTCCCTTCCTCTCTCTCTGCCTACTGTGATCTCTCTCTGTCAAATAAATAAATAAAATCTTTAAAAAAAAAAAAAAAAAGAAACAGTACAGGAAAATAAATGGCATGAGGCTCTATATAATCTAAAAGGTGAAATACAGACAGAGCCTCAAATCTTTGAGTGGAGGCTAGCAGATTTTTCTGGAAAGGGCCTGACAGTAAATATTTAGTAAATATTTGGGACCACAGTATCTCTGTTGCAACCACTCAACTCTGCTCTCGTATCATAAAAGCAGCCTCAGACAATTCCTTAAAGGAAGGACTGTGGCTGTGTTCCAATAAAACTTTATTTAAGACAAAGGGAGGTGAACCAGTTTACCAATCCCTGATAGAGTGTTTCTTGAGGAATCCAGAGAAGAGACGTGTAGGAGGCTTGCTTCATTTTCAAAAATGCAAGTAAACACCAGAAACAATTTATTCCTTGATACTGTTTCCTGACAATCCTTTTAAAAATCACAACCCCTTTTCCACACTCCCAGTCCTCCTGCCCCACAGCACTTCTCACCCATTAACATTCTATTTATTTCTTCTGTCTCTTATTTAGTGTCTGCCCTCCCCCTGCTAAAACATATGTCCCCTGAGGGACAGGGCCTTTGTTTTCTAATGTAATCCAAATTCCTCAGGTAGTGACAGTCATATATAGTAGATCTTTAATAAATATTCATTGAACGAGCTGAGTGAAGGCCAGGCCTGGCTCCAGAACCCATTTCATGCTTACCTGTGTCTGTCTCACCCACTGTTCTCAGGAATCTGCCCACTCTTCCACCTTTATGCACCCGCAGAATCTCATACGTACTTGCTTTTACACTGATTTGCAATGACCTTTTAACATAATGTTTCCACTAGCAGTTTATAAGCAATTTAAGGACAGAGACTGGGTCGTTTTGGCAATCTCTCCCCTGCACGAGGCACTGCTTAATGTCTTCTGATGTATGAATCAATGGATATGATCTGAATTCAGTCCCCAGTCCTGCCCACCCTACCTGGGGCTCCGGTACCACAGGGGGGGCTACCTGGCCCCCACTCACATCCAATCCTGCTATTCTAAGAACCTGTAATGTATCAGGCTCTGACTCTACTCAGGACTGAATGCTGGATCAATATAAGAGCAACAAGATTTAGGATTATGATACTACCCTCAGTTTATGGCACAGTGCAGGGAAATAGGCCATGACCTCCAGAAACTGGCATACAGTGTAGAAGGTTCAGTTATGGGGGGGGGGGTCAGGAACTGTGCCTTGGTCACCTTTGTACTGACTCCTCAATGCTTCACACAGCACCTGGCATTATATGGGAACCAATAATAATAAACATTCTGGAAGCTCATACTAAGTGCTAGGCCCTGGACTGAACGCAATATGCAAATCATGTCATTTCATTTTCACAATCTGTTTTAGAGATGAGGAAATGGAGGCTCAGAGAAATTGTAACTTGCCCCAGGGCACACAGCAAGTGTGTGGCTGAATAGGGACCTATGCCCATCACTCCAAAGCCAGTGCTTTAAGACATGCCACTAGTAACGGAGAGAAGCAGGGAGGAAGATAGGGAGGGAGAGGGGAAGAGAGATGGGGTGGAGAGGGAAGGAAAAAGAACAGTGCCAAGGGAGTTCCAAAGAAGACACAGGCGTGCCTCCCTGAAGAAATCGGGGATGAGCAGCTGCATGGAAAAGGCGGTATCTGAGTTACGACTTGCAAGACGGGTGAGCAAAATTGGAACTTGCAGAGCTGAGGAGCCCCCTATTTACCCACTGAGTATACAGGGGGCAGGTAAGGTAGAGACGCACATTTCAAAGATTTGGGGAGAGAAGGGCCCATAGGGCTTGCCTTCCTACGAGGCTCAGACCTACAGGGAGAACCGAAGGTAGAAAGGACTGGGGCAGTGGAGAAGCGGCCAGGGCTAAGAGGTGAGAGCCAAGAAGACAGGGCTGGTGATCACAGATGCTGAAGGTCAAGGGACTGGGTTTAGAGTGAAGGCGCCAAGGTGGAAAGTGGTCCGAAGGGCCGAAGTCCCGGCTCTTTAGGGTCAAGTCAAGGGGTAGGGGGTGGGGGATGATGCGGAGAGAGGAGCTTAGAAAGATCAGGAACAAGGTGTTTAAGAACAGAGAACTGTACTGGATAGCTGCATAACGGGTCAGAGAGAGGGGGCCAAAGGGGTCAGAGGGTCCGGAGGAGATGGGCGAGGGAGAGGAAAGAAGGCACAGGCTGCAATCAGAGGTGTCAGGAGACCGGAGCCCAGTAGGCTGGGTTGGGAGTGGCGGAGAGAGCCGATCGCGGAGTCGAGAATACGCGCGTCCTAGGGCATAGGTCTGGGTTCTGAGTAGCCGGATGGCTTGGGAGGGGTAGGGGAGGAGTAGAAGAGGGGTAGGGACTGACCCCCAAAGTATGGTCTGTGCCAGGGGGCTGGACTGAAAAGCCAACAGGAGGGCTTGTGGGGAAGGCTGGGGAAGCTGCCTGGCCGCGCGGGCCAGGGGCAGGGGCCAGGGGTCGGGGCGAGGGGACCACCGGGTCCCATTTGCTCCCCACCGGGTTCAGGGTGCAAAGCCACAGCCTCTAACTCCCTGGAGGAAGGGAGGTGGCCATGCTCACAGTTCCCCGCGAAGCCGGGCCCGCCACCCCCCCGCGACCTCGGGCCCAAACCGGACCCACCTCGCTCCCGCCGCTCCGTCAGGGACAGCGCCGCCTCAGAGGGCCGGGGGAGGAGCCGGAGCCGGAACCCAGAGAGGACCCGCCCTACCTCTCCAGGATTGGTTCCTGAGGAGGACCCTTTCTTCCCACTGGCTGTGCTGGCTGCCACAACGCGAGAAACCCAGGCGGTCCCGCCAATAAGTTTTGGCCTCGGGCAAGGCCTGCTGGGAGTTGTAGTCCTGAGGAAGAGCGCAGACTCGGAGAAGGAATTTGCGAAGTTGAGAACTGAGCAGTTGGGACTGAGTTCCCTCCCGAGGTCCTCGGATTTCTTTCCACGTTCACGCATTAAAAGCCCAACGTGTGAGGCCACCGGTCTGGCCAGTAGTAATGCGTAGAGCTAACCTGCATAACCACCAAGGGATCATGAACTCAGTTTCTTCTTTACTGTGAGTTGGTGGCACTTGACGGTCTGGTAGACATCCCGGTAGGCATCCGCGCTTTCCTCGAGGTTTGTATTTTAAAGTCAAAGGATTGTAGAGCTAGAAGGGGGAGTAAAGATCAACTAACCCAAAACGTTTGTCAGAGAACTAAACGTTCCCTGTGTGAGGAGCTGCCTCTGGGTCCCCCAATGTTCCTGCACAGGGATTTTTCTGGGTCCTACCTCGGTAAACCTGAAAGCCGGCACAATAAGACTTCCCAGGTATTTCCAGGATGAAGATTCCCGCCCCCCCCCAGGTTTTAGTTAAAGAAGAAGAAGTAGTAGTCTAATAGAATATTCTCATATCTGCAACGGTATTTCAGTGCAAAGAGCAAAGAATAGTATCTTCAGAGCTAGATAAATTAGAGTTATAATCCCAGTTCTACCGCCTAGCCATTTGGAGCACCATCCCCCTCCCCCTTAAAATCCCCGGTAGAATTATTTTAAAGATTAAATGAGTTAAAGCTTCTGCTTCCACAAATATCAGTTCTGTTTCCCGCTGGTAAATTTCTCTTGGGTGCAGCCAGTGTGAACAATGGGAATTAGTTTTAGGATTAAGATATTCGGGAAAGTATGTTTGAAACTGAGTATGAATGAGCGAAACATAAATACCCCACATACACTATTGCTTATAAATTGATTAAAATGCTGAGAAGGCAGATCAGAAATAAAACTGTGGCTTTGTTTCTAACTGTGGTTAAAGCGTGCTTGGGTGGATTCAAGGCTGTTCAAATACCAATTCCGTAAGATGTTTTCCTGTTACCAGTGCAAAGCCCTTCCCCACAACATCTCATTCATGATGAAAATAACATCATGCCAAACAACAAATATCAAACTTTTATTTAAGAACTGTACAAAAGCAGATAAATTTCACCCATGCATTGTGATAATTAAACATATATATCAACTTGACCAGGTTACAGGGTGCCCAGACATTTGGTCAAACATTATTCTGACTGTTTCTGCGAAGGGTGTTTTCCAATGAGATTAACATTTAAATTGGTAGAATGAATAAAGCAGATTTCTCTCCCGGATGTGGGTGGGCCCCATCCAATCAACTGAAGGCTTGAATACAACCAGAAAGCAACCCAACCCCTAGTATGAGAGAATTCTTCTTGCCTAAGGGTCTTTAGCCTGGGACATTGACTTTTTTTTCCCCCTACCTTCAGATTCAAATGGAAATACTGATTCTTCCTGGGTGTCAAGCCTGTCAACCATCAAACGAACTATGCCATTAGCTCCCCTTTGTCTCCAGCTTTCTGACTAATCCTGCAGATCTTGGGACATGCCAGCCTCCATAATCATGTGAGCCAATTCCTTACAGCAAATCTCTATACATATAAATATAACAAATATATATTGCCCTGGAGGACCCTGACTATGACAAGCGCTAACAGAGAGAACTTCAGACAGAAAGATCCAGTTTCCATTGGGTAGAACTGTGTACTCATCTGTGAACTGGTATCAGCCAGTATCTCTACAAAGAGGCCAGATCACATACGGGAATGACTTCAAAGTGAGGAGGATTTGTTCTGCAAGCCACACTAAAAAAGGAGGTTCAATGTTTTAACCTCGCACAGGAGCTACCAACTTCCTATTTGAAATCAGTACTCTCACCTAAGAGGCTGTTTGCTACACAGGTAGTCAAGTCTTCTAAGATAATGGGCTTATGGGGAAAAATAGCCTCTACACTGGTGGTCAGAACTGCCACTTTTCTAGCTGGACCTCTCTAAATCCCGGGAGGAGATTCGAAAGGACCAGGGTAGCTGACAGACTCATCCACGCCTGTCTTTCCAAGGCCACGCACAGCTGGGCTGCTGTGTTTGAAGCTCTGCATCCCAGCTCCCTGTCCGTGCTCTTGAGGCTTTTCGGGATTATGGCTACCACACTTAAAATCCCTGTACCTGGTTAGCATCAATAGGTAAGTTAGCTTTGAAAACGTGTACATTAGCTCTGGATGGCAGGAAACTATACTGTAAACAAGCATCAAGGAAACAGAAAGGGAGGGCATGTTTTACTCTTCCAACTTCCCCATCCCATATTCCAGAAGAAGAAGGAAGAGCGTGTGACCCAAAGGAGCTAGAGGCCTGCACTGAGAGAAGGAAAAAAGCCATCCTGGAGGGAATAAGAGAGAAGTCAGGGACCGGGCACCATAACCTCATGACTAAAAGGTCAAGTGCAGGATGAGGCAGGGTGAAGTTCCTTTAACTAGCTCCTCGAGTAGAGGACCCCTGTATCTTGGGGACACACATTTCACCATTCCATCATCCACTAAACCTAATCTGATGGTTGGTTTTCAAGAATTCTTCCAGAGCAATGGGAGCTTTAAATCCCGGAAGGATGACAGAGTTTAGAACTGAGCGCTGGGTGGAAGGTGGTGTGATTCGAAATGACAAGGTCTAGATCTGGGGAAAGGAGATGGGATGTTTCAGAATCAGTTGTTGGGCCAGCGGACTGAAATCCAGGGCAGGGCGCTGGACCATCAGGGGAGCAGGTAATGAGGAACAGCCCTAAAAAGAAGGAACCTTGAGACCTTGAAGGGCTGGGGCAAGGTCAGAGGGCCAGGGCAGGATCATATCCCTGGGTGGGAAAATCTCTGGTGCCTGAGGGGGGAATAAGGAAGGGTCCACGTTCATGGTCACGTCTCCATTCGCATGACCTTTTTCTTCTGGCTTGCGGCCAGTTGGTGGCTCTGATTTCTGGAGTTCTGAGCAGATGATTAGAGGTGCTGTGTTTTTCCCACCGTCATGAAGGCAGGGCTCAAAGAAAGGGCGAAGGGGGCCAGAGAAGGTGTGGGTGAAAGTAAAGATGTGGGATCTGCTGGTCACATTGTAGAAGGAAATGACGCCTGCCTCATAGTCCAGGAAAATTCCCACGCACCTCGGGGGCTCCTTGAGGCGCAGCGTGGTCTGCGGGGATGTGAGAGCTTCGTACTCCTTCTCACTACTCTGGCGGACAAGCCAGTGTCCGTTGGCAGGCGTGGCAGTGATCTTCCCCTTCCTGCTCACAGACTCACTACACACCCCCAGGGCCCATTTAGTCTTGTCTCCCACGTCCACCTCCCAGTAGTGACAGCCTGCCGTGAAGTACTCAGCGCCCAGGACACTGACAACAAAATCAAATCGCTGGGGGCCGTCGGGCACAGGCTGCCTTCTGTCTCCAAGCTTCACACGTCGCCGGTCCTCAGACAGGATGAGTTTGGGATGTGCTGTGTCTGGGTCCAGGGTCACTGCCACTGCAGAGAGTCACGGACAGGTGAGGCTGGGGAAGGCAAGGTCTTAGGGGATCTTTGGGTGGCTTTGGAGGGAAAGATAATCTCTAGGTCTGTGATCACTGTCATTGGTCTATTTGAGTTCATGTTTCTCCCTCCCCTATATGTATGGGAGCCAAAGAAAACGGTCTTCCAGTCTCCTAGATCTGCTGGGAGTGTATTAAGTTGAAAGAGGAAAAAGTATTTCATCTGTCTGTGAAACTGCCTTAATCCCTAAGAAACACTGCCTTCGTCTTCGATGGTCCCAAGGAATGTAATGTATGATAATAAACATAGGCTTTGATGTTAGACCCCGTAGCCAGCTAGGATGTGTGAGTCCCAGCTCTGCCACTTGCTGGTTATGTGACCTTGGGCTTGTTACTTATCTCCCAACTTCAGTTTCTTCTTCTATAAAATGGAAGTAGGGGCTCCCATTTGTACAAATTTTGCTAATACATGAGATGGTGCCTAGTTCACACAGTGAGAGTGTGATGCTCATTTTGTAGTTAAAATCATTGCTTATAATTATCATTTTTAAAGGGTAATATAGATAGAAGGATTCTTCTTTAAAATTGTGGATCATGAGGGTCACAGTGAGTCTCCCCCTTTTGCCAAGCATAGAAAACAGGCTCTTCTTGGAGAGAGAACCCATGAAGTCTATACTCAGTCAAGGTGGTGGGAGTGAGCCAGACCGAGTGTCAGAAGGGTTTATGAGCTCCTTGAATGCCAACCAAGGTGATCTGGTGTTTTCTCAAGTGCCAACTCCTCAATTCTATTGTACCTGCCTGAAGGAAGCCATGTGAACAGAAGGGGGATGAGTAGCTGGATGATAAGAATTGCCAGTAGGTGAAAATAACAGGTCTCATTAAAATAGCAGCAAAAAAGGGGTACCTGGGTGGCTCAGTCATTAGGCATCTGCCTTTGGCTCAGGTCATGATCCCAGGGTCCTGGGATTGGGACCCCGCATTGGGCTCCCTGCTTGGCAGGGAGCCTGCTTCTCCCTCTCCCACCCCCCCTGCTTGTGTTCCCTCTCTCACTGTCTCCCTCTCTGTCAGATAAATAAATAAAATCTTTTTTAAAAATAGCAGCAAAAAAATTGCCAACTATTTAGGAATAAAATGAAAAGAGATGTGCAAATCTTCTAAAATAAAACTATGAAACCTTTTCATAGTGTGTGCTGTGGGAGCATGAGCCTCACCCACTGTCTTCACTGAGAATCTCAGTCACCACCCCCCAAGAAAACTGATCTTGGAAGAAGGACATGGCAGGTGTATAGACAGAAATAGCAGCACTGGCTATTGGTCCAACTGTGGGATAGGAAGGACTTCCCAAATTTGAAAGCATGGAAGAGACTACACAGGAAAAGACAAATAAATTTGACTACAAAAAACAAAACAAAACAATCATACAGAAAAAAAAAAAAAACCATAAGGAAAGTAAAATGAAAATGAAAAACTTGGAAAAATAAGTTGTGAAAAATATGACAAAGAACTAGTATACTCTATATAGAAAGAACCCTTACAAATCAAAAAGTAGTCTGGACGGGACAGGAACAGACCAGTCACAAAGACGACATCCAAATAACCAACACACTTATGATAAATCTCAAAAATCATAGAGAACCCATAAGAAGATCACGATATATATATATATATAGGTATACATATACGATATATATGATATATATATCAGTATATATATATATATATATATATATATATATATATATCAGTGTTTTAAATGAGGGGAGACTTTCCAAATCTAAACGTCACCCCTCAAATCACAAAGATTTTTTTTTTAATTTGATAAGCAGATAAACAGATTTGATTTTAAAAAGCTTTAAATGACAGTCCACATTCCACAGGACCAGAGCTATGGGCTCTGACATGTGGATGCCCTGACTGGTATAACTTACCAAAGTGCAGCCTCGCCCGCCTCCAGCCTGAAAGACAGAAAGGGGATGCTTGAATTAAAAGGAAAATGGAGAACTCCTGGGGCGTGGGGGCCAAGTGCAGGGGAAGGTGTACCTCACCTGAGTTCGCCGCAGCTCTTTTCAATTCTATAAGAGAAGAAAGAAGGAGATGAGCTATTGCTGGAAATACAGACTCAACGGGAGATCAGGTGGTACGAGAGTTAGAAAAACATGGGACACTTACTCAGTTCACTCCGAAGTTTCTCTGAAGAATAAAAACAGTTGGACCAATCAGAACAAGGACTTCCAGAGTGCTGCAGTCCCATCCCAACCACATTCCCACATCAGACCCTCAGTAGCAGTACACTGAGCTTTCCCATGATGGGGCTTGCCACAGCCGTGGCTCCCAGCCGTGGGCCAGGGCTCCCCGAGGACAAGGCGGAGGAGAGTCAGCCAGTTTCTGTGCCCGCCAGAACTTTCTGGCAGACCAAGTCAACAACACATCTTCTGCATCTAGGTCACCACAACGTAAACATTTGTAGGATGTTGTGAGAGAATAAAGTCCGAGTTCATTTAAAACCATCACCCAATATCCATTTGATTTCCTTAAGTATATTTTCTCAATGTAAAATAAAAGAGACATGTCATCACATGTCTGAAGGTTTTTGTGGTTATAAAGAGGTTCTCATACATGAAGTGGTGGAGAAACATTGCTCCACACACTCACTGTAATGAGGATCCCGAAGGGAATGTCACACCTAGGGAATAAAAAGGGTCTCCCAGGAAGCTTCACCCATGGGAGGTGAGCACTTCCCAGTTAAAATCTTTCCCACGTAGAGACCAGATAACAGTTCTGTGGGAAAGAGGAACAGGAAATATTTGAGAAGAGAGGACTTTGAGAGCCAATACATCTCCAAGCCCCATGACCTCAAGTACCCTTGCCCCCATCTCCTGCCCTAAGAAGTGAAACCGAGACACTCATCCTAAAGCAAAGACGTCAGCAGAAGGAGGTTTGTACCATGAATGAGCAGTGGAACTTACTGAGGGCTTTATGGAGCCTTCCTAAAAAACAGAAAAAGGCACATGTGAATAGATGGGACGCAGGAAGGCTCATCACTCCATCCCTTCCCACCTGACCAGTGGAAGGGGTGGTGAACCAGCCTGTGGGCCCTGAAACTTCCTGAGGACCTGGACCGCCCGGAACTTTGGGTTTGCCTTTCTTGGCCCTCCCTTTTTTTCCAGCTCTTCTTCTGTGGTCCCCGTTGAGTGTTTCTGTGTGTTTGTAACTGTGTGCTCACGTACGTGTGTCTTGTTGTCCTTTAATAGCCTACTGTTGCTAATAGCGATACTGTGAGACCCAGTCGGAGACAGCCCCACTATACCACACCGTGCCTTCCGCCCCTGGACAGAATGGCCATAGCATCCCTGAGGTGGGCGCGCCCACACTTTCACCACCTTGAAGGAGATGGGATGCAGAAATCGGGGCAGACAGAGCCATTTCGAGCCAGGGACTTGTCTTCCCAGCAAGACCTTCCAAGGGCAAAGCCCCCTGTTTTTTTTGGTACCCTGGATGTGTCTGACTTCTACTCTCAGTGGTCCAGGGCAAACACTCAATTAACGAAGATGACAGGTGGGAAGGGAAAGGGGTACCAGGCTTTGTAATAAGAACTTTTTAAGTTGTCTATTTTAATCCTGAAAACAGGTGAGGAGACTCACTGTCCCCATTTTACAGATGGGGAAACCAAAGCTCAGAGCAGTGAAGTACCTTGTCCAAGGCCAGTAAGGGGCGCACTGGTGATCTGAGCCGAGTGTCACTGAACCAGCCCTTTTCTGTAAAGCCTGGGATCCTCCCATCATATCACACTGCCTCTCTCAATGCAAAAGCTGTATGGAGTTCTGAGATACTCATACACCCCATATGACCATAATAATACCTTTTCAAATAATAAGTAGATCTTCTTTTTAAGTGATTGGTGGAAAGGCTGATGAAGGGAGCTCAGGACAATTCAGACCTGTGAATGTTGACTAAGGGCATCCCCTCACCATGGTTGCTCTATAGCCCCTTGATATGGGAATGTAAATTCAAATAATATTAATGGAAGGTGTGTGTGTTTGTGTGTGTGTGTGTGTGTGTGTAATGTGTGTATGACAGACTGTCAACATTCATGTAGAAGTGGAAAGAATATGTTCTTTGTTATTTGTCCCCTACTCTTTATTCTGTACATATAATTACCTTTTTCTTTTGCGTGGTCTGAGAGAAGATTTTCTAGAGGAAGAAAAGTAAATGAGATTCTGTGCCATTACTTTGACGGTCCCCAACTCCTACTGAGTTCACCTGCCTTTGAGGCTCCCTATCTCTACCTCCTTGACCCAGGCCCTCACCATCTCTCATCTGGATGACAGAAACGGTGCCCCCCACCTGCCCCCTTCAACCTGTCTTGCTTCCTCTGGTCCCTTCTTAACACTGCAGCCAGAGAGCTTCTCAAAGCACAATTCTGGTAAGGACTGCCCTGTTCACTGCTTTACCACTGCTCCGAGAAGAAAAACGAAAGCCCTTCACATGATCTACAAAGCCTCCCCTAGCCTGACACCTGCTAAGTCCACAGCCTCATCCCCTGTCACCTTTCCCCTCACTTCTGCACTGTGTGTCTTTTGCACGTTGTTCTTTCTGCTTGTGGAAGGTTTTCCGTTCCCTCTTCCTCCAAGCCTGCCCGTCTTCCTGATCAAACATCCTCTGGGGACTCCGCTCCTGTCCTTCAAGTTTGGTTGGTTGGTTCCTCCAGGATCTAGTCTTTACGGCCCTTAGAACTTCCTCTCATGGCATGTGTGCACATTTATCTATGTAATTACTTCACTCACATCTGCTTCCCTGACTGGACTGAAAGCTCCAAGAAGGCGCAGACTGTATCTGCTTTTACTTGCCATTGTGACCCCAGCATCTAGTATAGTCCTGGGCACTTAGTAGACAATCACTAATTGTTTGTTGAACAAATAAAAGCTCCCCCCATGTTAGACCTACATGACTCCCACAGATCAAGAAGTGAGTTCGCATACAAAAATCACCAAACATACTAGAAGGCAAGCTCTGACAAGTAAGTGTCTGTGAAAACTGGAAAGGACAGTAAAGATGTCCCACCACCCCTGCCTATAAGGACAGCAGATACTGGGATTTTCAGCTAATCTAAAACAAACAAAATGAATAAAACACAGTAACATCTCCACCCAACTCAGGACACTTACCTACCTCCATCACCTGTTCATAGAGAAGCTTCTCTAGAAGACAGAAAGGGAGAGGTATCAGTTCAGTTTAAGGAAGGGATTTTTCTAATAGGCAGAGTTGTCCAAAGATGGCCCAAGCTGCCCAGGAGGACTTTGCTCCTTGTCACTCTGGGCATGTGACTATTTGAAAGGCTTAGTGGGTCTTCAAACCATCAGATAAGGGAAGGAATATTGGATTCCCTGACTCTCAGGGTCATGTTCAACCCTGTGATCCTGTGAAATTCAACCATATTTATGGGGTTTTATCTCATGGCTAGAATTGTATTTCTTAATTAACTAGCAGGCTGGCAAGATCAGTTCTTTCCTAATTTATCAAAAGATAGTGATTGACAGCTCTGTCCAGGATTTTTCTGCAGTTTCTCTGACCTTCTCTGCATTGGGAGTCCCCAAGCAAGACTCTACCAGTTCTCTCTCCTCCATTTTGCAGGGTCTCCAACCTACAGGTAATTCACGTCCATGTCTACTTCTTCCTGGACATTTCCTAGAGAAACCCATCCCACTTCTTGCCAGCTGGCGCTCCCTTACCACTTAGTTACCTTTTGATCTTCTTTGCTTCCAGATGAGGTAAATGCCCATGATGATGAGAATCCCCAGGACAGGCAGGATGACAGCAAGGGCCACTGTTGAGGAGGAGACCCTCCCTGGAGAAGGGGCTAAAACAGAAACCACCAATGGCCACCCTCAAAGAGACATCCAACAGCTTCTCCCATGCCACAGACCCCACTTCAGATGGCAGATGGCTCAAGCACATCCCAACTTCTTGGCTAGAGAGAGACTTCTAGCCAAGAATGTTGGGGGAATTACCCAGGGATGATTTTAAAGTGAGAAGTTCATTTCTTAGTGGTAGTTCTGATGGTCCTGCCTGAAGACAACAGGTTAAACTCCACTTTTCAACCACAACCTTGTCCTGTCCTAGATGGAGCCATTATCCGGGGACTTTGAAGGATAGGAGGGGCTTCCTCAGGGATCATCTCTAGTCTTCTCATGAGCACCCACCTGTCTCCCCATCAAGTCCTCACTCTGCTGTGAAACAACAGTCAGTGAGTGGCATCTTGGCCCTGAGCCCTACCAGCAGGGGCAGAACCATTTCTGTGGTGCTATAGCAGGAGACCTAAAGCCTGGGCAAGAAGAAAGGAGAAAGGAAAGAAGAGAAAAAGAGCAGAAGAAGCTCTGTGACCCATGGGAAGAGTCTCAGCTGAATGCGAGACCTCACTCAGCAGTATGTGACCCTGGGCAAGAGACTGAGCCTCCCCAAGCCTAGCTGACCATCTAGGAAATAGAGATGATGTAATTCCTGTCCCATTGGGTTGTAGGGAGACTTACCCAGGAGAGTAAAGCACTTAGCACTTCATGAGAGGCAGTGGCAGTAGTAAGGGAAGGGAGGGGGACAGAGAGGAAAAAAAAAGAAGGGATTCACAGAAGTCCTGACCCCTTCTAATCTGGGACCCCAGGCCACAGTCTGTCTTTCCTGGCTCCAAAACCACTCTGCTTTACCACATGGCTCCATGTTTAAAGGGTCTTTAAAAGATTCACACCCTTTGGATCCCTTAATTTTACTTCCAGAAATGCCTTCTAAGAAAATAATCAGAATCACATCCCAAAATATGTGCAAAGATGTTCACTGAATCATTCGTTATAATAGGAGGAAAAATTGGAGACCACCCAGATGTCCAGAAATAGGGCTCTGATTAATTTTATTATGCTATAACCACACAACGAAGTACTGTGTAGCTCTTAAAAATCATGCTGCAGAGAACTACTTAAGGACATGGGCAGAAAATGCTCAGGACGTTGTAACTAAAGGAAAAAAGACCCAGTGGAATACATATATGAAAACACACACACTCAAGAGATGGAGACATATAAGAATGTCTTGAAAGAAATGCCCCCAGAGGTTAGCAGCAGTTCTAATTTATGACATAACAGGCCATTTCCGGTTTCTTTATAATGTTCATCACTTTTTCAACTTTTCTACCAAAAACATGTGTTCCTCACAGAATTTTAAAAATCTGAAAATTCTTTATAAAGTTTCCACTCAGGTAGGAGTTTTCCGCAGGGGCTTCGAGCCCGTTTACTGCCCCGGCTTTTACCTGCTATGAGCATGGCTGTGGTCTTCTCTTGGCCAAGGGCCAAATTGTGGACGGTGCAGGACACGTTCCCCAGCGTGCTGTCCCTGACTCTGCTGGACACCGCGATCCGGAAGAGCCCAGCTTCCAGGACATGGACATCCGACAGGGGTCGAAGCACTCTGCCTTGAGGGTCTTTCCACTGGGCCAAGGGCTGTGGAAACCATCCCGCGGACCTGCACACCAGCTGGATCCATCCAGCGTCGTAGCCCTTCACGTGGATGTAAGGGTCGGAGCCTAGAACTGGAGGGAGACGGGGATCACAGATGCCTGACAGTGGGGGCGCGGTGCCTGCCAGAGCTCTGGCCCCCTTCCCGCAGCATCCCCGGGGGAGGCGGGGCTGTCCAGGCCACTTGCGGGCCCGCCCTCTCCGCAGCCCCACGCTCCTCCCAGCCGGGTGAGAGAGTCTCTGGCTTCATCCTCACACTTCGCAAATGCACCCCTGGGGTAACTGCATCCCACGATTCAGGTCTTGGGGGTACCTCTGTCCCCACTTTGGAAAATGACTAACCTGCCACCTGCAGGGTCACGGTGCCGTCCCGAGTCAGGTTTCCGATCTGGACCTCGCATTGGTACAGCCCTCGGTCCTCCAGCCGGACTTGGCGGATCTCCAAGGACACGCTGCCCTCTCTCGGGTCCCTCCGCAGCGCCGTCCGCCCCTTGTATTCCGGCATCACGCCTTCCTCCCGGTCTCTCCCGTCGCGGAACACGTGCACGACCTGGGAGCGGTCCGGGCTTGGGGACCGCAGCCACGTCACCGCGGTGGGCACGGTGACCGGCCACAGGGGGATGGGGCAGGGCAGTTCGGCTGTGCCCCCTAGTGGGGCCAGGTGGTAGTCGTCGGCGTCCCCTGCGTAGTGCGGACAGAAAACAGACAAGGGCGTGTGGGCGGGACCAGAGAACAGCCGCGCGGCGGTGGGTGAAAAGGGAGGTCTTGGCGAAGAGCACGGCCAGGGAAGGGCGTTGGAAAGGACTCGGCGGGGAGGGGTGGGTGGAAGAGAGCGCGGGACTCGTTGGGCAGAGGTCCCAGGCAGGGAAAGAGGCTCACCAACTCCTACCTGACAAGGGCAGGGGCAGCCAGAGGAACATAAGTGCCACGAGGCAGCTGGAGAGCCAGGAGCCAGAGGAACTTGCCATCTCCGTGGGAACTAGGAGGACAGACGCAGGGAGACACCAGAGAGGGCTGGTGAGCATGATGCGGGTGCCGGGACAGTGTAAGGAGGTGGGGCGCCCGGTGAGGGCTGCTTGGCCAATGCTCTGGAATCACACAGCCCAGAGTTGGAATCCCAGCTCTGCTATTTATCTCCATGTCAACTTGTAACTTAACTTCTCTGGGTAACCTTGTAACTGAGACCCTGTTTCTCTGTCTTTAAAATGGGTACAGTAACTGTGCCTTCTGGCAGGATTATTGTGAGGGTCGAAGGACGGAAGTGCTCAATGTGGAGGCGGGGTCGTGGGTGTCTATGAATGCCATGAGTGAGGACCATGGTGATACGGAGGGTGAGGCACTGAGTGTGATTTGGAAGGCTGAGGGAGGAGTCTGGAAGAACAAGAACTTACACTGGGGACTAAACAGGTGCACATCAGGATACTGGCTTCTTCTAGCACTTAGTGTCCCAAGACAGACGTGGAATGGGCCTGTGGTTAGCCTCTCTTCTACCCACAGTGGATTCAAGTCTTGGCTCCACTCATGGGCTAGCTCCATGGCCCTGGGAACATTCTTAATATCTGTGGGCCTCCAGTGCTTAATCTATAAAGGTGGAAACTTCTTCCCGGGTTCAAGAAGGCAATGCATGGAAAGATCTTGCCACAAAGCCTCACAAAACAAGTGTTCAGTAAATGTGCTGTAGTTGTTATTACTGAATCAATGAGTGCATGAACCACAAGCACACCCCAGAGGATTCCCTACTTGAAAACTCTCTTCCAAGTCAAACTCTCACTCTTTGCAGATGAAATGACACTTTATGTGGAAAACCCAAAAGACTCCACTCCAAAACTACTAGAACTCATACAGGTATTCAGTAAAGTATCAGGATATAAAATCAATGCACAGAAATCAGTTGCATGTCTATACACCAACAAGAAGACTGAAGAAAGAGAAATTAAGGAGTCTGTCCCATTTACAATTGCACCCAAAACCATGAGATACCTAGGAATAAACCTAACCAAAGAGGCAAAAAATCTGTACTCGGAAAACTATAAAGTGCTCATGAAAGAAATTGAGGAAGACACAAAGAAATGGAAAATTGTTCCATGTTCCTGGATTGGAAGAACAAATATTGTGAAAATATCTATGCTACCTAAAGCAATTTACACATTTAATGCAATCCCTATGAAAATACCATCAATTTTTTTCAAAGAAATGGAACAAATAATCCTAAAATTTGTATGGAACCAGAAAAGACCTCGAATAGCCAGAGGAATGTTGAAAAAGAAAGCCAAAGTTGGTGGTATCACAATTCCAGACTTGAAGCTCTATTACAAAGCTGTCATCATCAAGACAGTATGGTACTGGCACAAAAACAGACACATAGATCAATGGAACAGAATAGAGAGCCCAGAAATGGACCCTCAACTCTATGGCCAACTAATCTTTGACAAAGCAGGAAAGAATGTCCAATGGAAAAAAGACAATCTCTTCAACAAATGGTGTTGGGAAAATTGGACAGCCACAGGCAGAAGAATGAAACTGGACCATTTCCTTACACCACACACAAAAATAGACTCAAAATGGATGAAAGACCTCAATGTGAGAAAGGAATCCATCAAAATCCTTGAGGAGAACACAATTAGCAACCTCTTCAACCTCAGCCGCAGCAACGTCTTCCTAGGAACATCGCCAAAGGCAAGGGAAGCAAGCTTGGGCAAAAATGAACTCTTGGGACTTCATTAAGATCAAAAGCTTTTGCATAGCAAAGGAAACAGTCAACAAAACCAAAAGACAACTGACAGAATGGGAGAAGATATTTGCAAACGACATATCAGATAAAGGGCTAGTATCCAAAATCTATAAAGAACTTACCAAACTCAGCACCCAAAGAACAAATAATTAAATCAAGAAATGGGCAGAATGAACAGACATTTCTGCAAAGAAGACATCCAGATGGCCAACAGACACATGAAAAAGTGCTCCACATCACTTGGCATCAGGGAAATACAAATCAAAACCATAATGAGATACCACCTCACACCAGTCAGAATGGCTAAATTAACAAGTCAGGAAATGACAGATGCTGGCGAGGATGCGGAGAAAGGGGAACCCTCCTACACTGTTGGTGGGAATGCAAGCTGGAGCAGCCACTCTGGAAAACAGCATGGAGGTTCCTCAAAAAGTTGAAAATACAGCTACCCTACGACCCAGCAATCACACTACTGGGTATTTACCCTAAAGATACTCTCCCACCCTCTGCCTGCCTCTCTGCCTAATTGTGATCTCTGTCTGTCAAATAAATAAATAAATAAATAAAATCTTAAAAAAAAAAAAAAAAGATACAAACGTAGTGATCTGAAGGGGCACGTGTGCCCGAATGTTTATAGCAGCAATGTCCACAATAGCCAAACTATGGAAAGAACCTAGATGTCCATCAAAGGATAATGGATAAAGAAGATGTGGTGTATATATACAATGGAATACTATGCAGCCATCAAAAGAAATGAAATCTTGCCATTTGCGACGACGTGGATGGAACTAGAGGGTATTATGCTGAGCGAAATAAGTCAATCAGAGAAAGATAATTATCATATGATCTCTCTGATATGAGGAATTTGAGAGGCAGGGCAGGGAGGTGTTGGGGGTAGGGAAGGAAAAAAATGAAACAAGATGGAATTGGGAGGGAGACAAACCATAAGAGACTCTTAATCTCAGGAAACAAACTGAGGGTTGCTGGGGGGTAGGGGGGTTGGGAGAGGGTGGTTGGATTATGGACATTGGGGAAGTTATGTGCTATGGTGAGTGCTGTGAAGTGTGTAAGCCTGATGGCTCATAGACCTGTACCCCTGGGGCAAATAATACATTATATGTTAATTTTTTAAAAAGAAATTTAAAAAAAAAGTACTTGCTACTGCCAGAAGTTCCTCTCGTAGGAAACAAATCTTTCATGCCACAACTGGGGGTGAAGTTTAATTCTAAAAACTCTGGAGAAGTGGGGCAACTGGGTGGCTCAATCAGTTAAGCATCAACCAGACTCTTGGTTTCAGCTCAGGTCATGATCTCAGGGTTATGAAGTCGAACCCCTCACTGAGCCCCATGCTGGGCCTGGAGCCTGCTTGGGAGATTCTTCCTCTCCCTCTGTCTGTCTCCCCAGCCCCAGTCAAGCTCTCTCTCTCTGTCTAAAAAACAAATAAAAAACCCCAGCAGACTTATTGTCTCTTGAATTCTCCCCAATATTTCAAATCCTCTTCAAAGAGGAGGGTTTTTGTAGAAGTCATCAGGCTAGGCCCCTGAAGGTTTTGGAATTGGGCAAAACAGGACTTAGAGGAGGTGGGACTGTCAAAGGGAGTTTGGGAAACTGAAGATGGACTTAAGCTTTGAACAAATTTCCAATTGTTTCTCTCATGGCAAACAGCACACTGCTTTAGGGTTGTTTTTGTTTTGTTTTTGTTTTTCAATCATGATGCACGTAACATCCATCTCTAATCCCCTAGGGTTACAATTGGCAACACAGCAGCAGGACACAGTGTGGTTAGGACTGTGTTACAGTCAAGACTTCCCCCCCACCCTCTATCCCACCCATTTTTCCCACAGGTTACCAGCTACTCAGAAATTGAACAAGAGAAGTTAGGTAAAGGAGAAAGGCTCTCTGCCTTATCAGTTATCATCCAAGGTGGAGCATCTGGGTGGCTCAGTCGGTTAAGCCATCAGCCTTCGGCTCAGGTCATGATCTCAGGGTCCTGGGATCGAGTCCCACATTGGGCTCTCTGCTCAGTGGGGAGCCTGCTTCTCTCTCTCCTCCCCTACTTGTGCTCTCTGCTGCTATCTCTATCTCTCTCTCAAATAAATAAATGAAATCTTTAAAAAAAAATTATCGTCCTGCGGAGAGCCTGCTTCCTCCTCTCTCTCTGCCTGCCTCTCTGCCTACTTGTGATCTCTGTCTGTCAAATAAATAAAGTCTTAAAAAAATTATAGTCCACGGTGGAAGTAGGCAGGGCCTGAGATCCCCGGCAGTTACCCTAATCCCCAAAACCCTCAACTAGAAGGTGCTTTTGTAACATCCCTTGGGTAGACGTGCCCAGAGTGACACAGAGCTCCATGCTGAACTGGGGCTGCTTGTAGTCAAGGAAGAGGAGAACCCCACAGTCCCATCTTCTGAGATTCAGATAGATTATTAAGTGATTAAGAGGATGGGCTCTAGAGTCAGCTTGGGTTCCAGCTCTGGCTCTGCCATTACCTGGTTGTGTGACCTTAGACAGGTTAGTTAGTTAGTTAGTTAGTAATATAGTTGTTTGGTTTCTCCAAGTCTCCTCTTAATTCACACATGAAATGAAGCTAATAATAGTACCTATCTCATAGCTAGGGTTATAGTAAGGATTCCCAGAAAATACATGTGAAATCATTTGCACCAGATTCTAAAAATAAAAAAGCAAATGAAGTCCTTCCATCATGCTGTCACTCTGTAAGAGGGCAGCTGAGGTGGCCTGAGGAGGGGAGTCTCCCTGAAGCATATTACCAAGTTACCAATGAACAGAAAGTGGCTGTGGGAGCAGACTAACCCCGGGGAGGATGACATCAGAAGTAGGATATTCACTCTCTAGTCAAAAAGAGAAATGCAAATTAAGGCCATGGTTAGATATGTTTTGTCCTCCTTTCAAATTATCTAATATTAAAAAAAAACAAAACAGAATTATCACACATGTGGGCAAACCAACTCTCTTGTTCATTGCAAAACAACTGTCACAAGTATAAGTTAGTCAAATGATTTGTAAATATGCAAAAGTTTTAACCCAGGAATTCCACTTCCAGAAAAGAATCTTATAGGAATCAGTAAGGATGTGTATAAGGATTTGCTGGTCAGGATGCTCATCACAAAGTAATTTTTTAAAAAAATATTTTATTTATTTATTTGACAGACAGAGATCACAAGTAGGCACAGAGGCAGGCAGAGAGAGAGGGAGGGAAGCAGGCTCCCCGCTAAGCAGAGAGCCCGATGTG